CTGCCCTCCCTGGGGACATTCTCGTGAAATGCAAGGGGTGAGCTGAATCGCACCTGGCCTCTGGGGCCCTGGCCAGGCCCAGCTTGGCACCTCCACCCCACCCACCACACCAACCACGTGTCCAAGTGGGAGGAGCCACAGGCAGGTGGCCAAGGGCAGACTRGACACAGGAAGCAGACAGCCAGGAAGAGAAAGCAGCCTCCCCCAGCGCTGGCTASACCCCAGGCTGGACGGGACGTCACATGAAGTTCAGCCCTCAGACCCCCAAGGGGGGTGAGCTGCACCGCGGCCAGCGCACCCCGCCTCACTGTGGGAAACGGAGGCTGCTCTGGCATGTCCACCACAGGGGAGGACAGCGAGGGCCCCTGCACTGGGTCTCCCACAGGCCAGGGATGGGGGGGTGTTCTGGCAGGCGGCACCTGGGGCGTGGGGGGGAGCCACGAGACGCCATCTAACTCGGGTTAGCACTGACCCACAGGGACAGCAGCCGGAGACCCAGCTGCCCCAGGCAGGAAGTGGGGCTCCAGTAGCAGCAAGCAGGGCAGGACCCTGGCTACGAGGGCCAGCGCCCTGTGGGACTGGTGCCGAGGGCCACGGGGTCAGCTTGACCCCGTGACATTGATGGAGCTGACAGTGACGAGGGTGCTTGGCCCCAAGCCAGGAGTCCTGCTGCCTAATTCAGGAGACCGYGGGGCAGCTGGTGTCGCCCCGGCCGCAGGGCAGAGGGGAGGCCCAGGCCTGGCGCTGACCCACAGCAGCCCTGGCCATCTCCTGCTGCGACCGGTGGGCCTGGGGTCAGAATAGAGGGAGCAAGGTCCCACCAGTCACCAGATCAGTCCAAGCCCTGGGGCCTTTTAAATGGTGATGGCTTCTCTTGGGGAGCGAGAGTCCAGGCTGTGGGTCCTGCCTGCCCTAGGCTCCACCCCCAGGCCCAGGGCTCCTCCCGTCTCCCGCAGTGCCTTTCTGAGGCAGGCAAAGGCCTCTGTGAGGGGAGCAGTGGCCCTGAGCTGCCATCTGAAGCACACGGGCTCACAGGAGGGGACAGGGACGGTGACTGAGCTAACCACACCYGACAGCTGGTCCTCCTGGCCCACAGGGCGAGGACCAGGGGTGCTGAGGTGTGGGTGGGCACTGGCCCAGACTCAGGCCCCCAGACTCAGGCCCGAGGTCTAGATTTCCTGGGTGGCCAGGGCGGGTCAGCCCRGAGGCAGCCAGGTCCCTGAGAGGAGCCCGCCAGCCCCTCACCCACCTCCTCGTTGCCCGGGATTCTAAYGTGCCCGTCTCTCTGCTTCGGTCTCTGATGGTGCCAGGCCACAGCCGCCCACTGGCAGGGCTCTGCTGGCCTGTGGCACCCTCCCTGGATTCAGGAGGCCCGGCCTGCACCACCCCAGCCCGGGCAGCACCGCTGCAGGGCATGACACCAGGGACCAGGCGAAGTGGCCTTCACAGACCTGCCAGGCCCAACGAGTGCCCTGATGAAGGCCTCGCGCTCAGGCGTAAAGCAGGCGGTTCTCCAGGGTCTGAGGTCAGAGGGCACAGTGAGCCCCAGAAATAGCCTGGGCACAGTAAGCGCAGACGTTCCCCATCAACAGAGGGGAGCGCTGGGAGGACAGGACACTAGTGTGGCAAACGCAGGAGGCCCGAGCCACGGGAGCCCGGCCTGCGGACACTGCGCCTTCCCAGGCGTCCACGCGAAGCTCCAGGGAAAAGCGGCCACCGYCGGAGGCCCGTCCACGGCAGTAAACAGAGCTCTCCCCAGGAAAGCCAGGCRGCTGGACACGCCGACGCCACAGCGGTCTCTCTGCAGACCTGGTGGCCGCTGGGTGAGCGACGGGCAGGTGGGGTACTCCGTGTGGACACCCTGGACGAGGCCAAGTCTCCTCTGTTGGGATGGAGTGGGAGGTGCCAGAGTGGCTCGCGCCCCGCGGAACGGTACCSGTTCACAAAGTCACTGATTTCTGGGGTTTCCATACGATATCCTCAGACCACAGCTGAGGGAGGAAAGAGAGACCACAGCAGGACAGGGCTGTTGTCCTGCAGACACGTGGACAAAGGTCTGAAAACGAGCTACTTCCAAGGAGGCGGACAGCTCGAGGGGCCCTTCACACAAACCYGTCACAGTCCTACGTTCCCGAGGAAATGTGAGTGCGTCACTTTAATGGGGACTAACAAAGATGCCACCCTCCCGTTCCACATCTTCCAGCGTCTTATCTCCTCCAGCCCAGTCACCAGAGAGCCCGGGCAGCGGAGGGCACGGGGAAGTCACCCTCCGCCTCCGATCCAAACGCACACACCACGCAGCGTCTGGTCAGGGACAGGGGGACACCAGCTGGCCACCACTCATGGAGGGACCGTCATGGAGCTGCACTCTCCGGACCTCTGCAGCCCACCCCTGCCCCCAGGCACCTGCCCACTCCAGGCTGCTCCTGTGGGAGGAGAGGCCTGGGGAAGCCGCTCCCCTGCCTGACCGCCTCGGCCCTCACCCTGAGCACGCAGGGTCACTCCMGGGGACAGCTGACTCCAGGCTGCAGGGTAAGCGCCAGAGAGGAGGCACGCCCCGAAGCAGAGGCACTGGGCACGACCAGGCCTCCCTGCCGGCCCTGTCCTTCTCCCCACCTGCACGGGGTCCCCAGAGAGCGTGTTGGGCAAAGCTGGGTCCTCCRAGGTCTTGGTTTACAGACAGGGCCTGGCTAAACTGCTCAGGCTGGTCTCAAACTTGCAGTCCTCCTGCCTCAGGCCCGCACCACCATACCCAGCCTCCTGCAGGGTCTCTCGAGGTCCCTGCCCCAGGCTGTGTGTGCGTCACGCTGTGTCATGACAAGCACTTGCCCTGCTGAGTGGTGCCCAGTGGCATGCAGTCACCATCCCACGTGTCCCCTCCATCCAGGGGATCACCCCTCATCCACCCTCTGCGGAGCAGGTGACCTGCAGCAGATGCCATCTGAGGGCCCCACTCACCCACCACAGGTGACCCCAYGAGGACTGGGTCTCCCCACTGACTTTGCCGGAAGGTCCCACCTCACACCCTTTGCTAGAAAGTCTGGGGGCCCACGGAGCAAATGGGCCCCCAGCCCCCTGGACAGGACTGACACGTGGCTACGGGTGGCCACTGGCTCCTTCCCTCCCTGTGACCCTGCCCTGTCGTCCCACCTTGCGACGGCCACTGCTGTGGGCCAGTGCAGGCCTCAGTATCCCCCTGGGGGACGGCCGTGATGACACCAACCTCAGGATCCGAGTTCCACRTGTGCCCCCTGGTCTCCAGGACAGTGGGGTCTCCTGCCCTCACTGTGGCCATGTCCACTAGCCCCRGGGAGGTCCTGGCGTGTCTGCAGAGGACCCAGGGGGGCGCGCCCCTCCCTTGGCCCAACAGCCGTGCCAGCAGCTCATTGCCGGCAGTGACAGTGACCGTGTCTGCCCAAGCCAGACACCACACAGCTGCTGCTGGGCGGCTGGGTGGCCCTCACGCCCGGCCCAAGGCCCCGCCATTCACCTGCTGCTTCTCTCTGGACAGTGGCCTCGGGTCTGCCCTCCTCCCCAGGTCTCAGCCACTGGGAAGACTCAGCTCTGGGTCCACGGCTCAGGAGGGGGTTCCTCCTCTGAGTGACCGAGGTCATGGCCACAGCGCTGGGTCACAGCCAGGGCTCAGACTCGCTTGCCCCTGCTGGGCCTCCAGAGTAGGGCTGGAGATGACATCAGCAATGACAACAGGGCCCGCCACGCACCAGACCATGTCCAGGCTCAGAGAGGGTGAGCCACTTGCCCTGGCTGCTCAGCAGCCATGGAGATGCTGGGGGTGGTCCACTGGGACTGAGGCCAGAGGCTGAGAAGCAGGTTCCAGCGGCCAGCGAAGGCCAGATGCCTCCCTGCCCTCAGCCACACTCTCCCTGCCAGACCCTTCAGCTTGCAGTGCCTGGGAGAGCACCCTGGAGGGAGCSAGGGGTGACAAGCTGCACACTGGTGCCCACGTCTGCACGGGCAAAGCAGGCACTGGAGTCAGCCAGGCCCCGCACCCAGGGCCAGGCTCCAAGCCCCAGCGGCACATCTGGAACCAGGCCCATCCAACTRCAGGGCACCTGCTGCACCATGGTGGGACCGAACCCTCTCTGTGATCCTACCGACGCAGAAGATGGGCCTGGGGTCAGGGCGGCCAGCGGGACTGAGGGTGCACACRTCCAGCCTCAGAGGTACAGCAGGTTGGGCAGGAGCCGGGGTGGAGAGGGCTCATCAAAGCTCACGCCAGTCTCTCCCTGTCTCTCCCCTCCGTCTGTCCACACGCGGATCAGAGAAGGCAGGTCCTCCCCAGCCCCAGGCTCTCCCTCAGACACCAAGGGCTGGACACTGTCCCAGGAAAGCAGGGGCCCTGGGAAGCAAGCGCACTGTCTCTGGCGCCTTCTGAGGCCCAGACGACACCACCCAGGACCCGCGGGGCCAGGTGCACCTCCTGCAGTGCCTGAGCTCCCACGGGCTCCCGCAGCCCAGCTGGGATCAGCCAGGTCCTCACACTGGCCCCCGCAGCTCCCCAGGAGCAGGCCCGCGTCCCCCCTGGCCCTGGGCTCCTGCTCTCTGACCACGCCGAGAGAAGCCCTGAGTCCCTAAGGCACCYACCCACGGCCACCTCTGGACCTGTTCCTCAGGGCCCTGCAGCCCCGCTCAGCCCGGAATTCACTGTCCCACAGCCAGGGCCAGGAAGCCGCTGGCCCAAAGCACCAAGTCTCGCCTGAGCTCCTCCTGGCTGCTCTGTCCACGGGGCCGTTGCAGAGCCTATGGAGAACCTCGGGGGCCAGTCTGGGCAGCCGCACAGCCACAGGCACCCCACAGCCCCTCTCAGGCAGCCGCCGTCCCCCCGACAGTCCACAGTGAACACATGTAGATGCACGGACAGACGAGAGCCCAGGGGAGGCTGGGGGYCCAGGCCCTTCCCGCCGCCTGCCCACGGGCCCCTAGGACCTCTGAGGTCCCACGTGGCCTGAGGACCGGAGCCGGGCACGAGGGCCGCCTACCTGGACGCTGCGATCTCGGCCTTCTGCTTGGCGATGGTGGCTGCCCGCTCGGCCGCCTCCACCGCCCGGTCCACCTTCTCGCGGGTCTTGCTGGCGCGCAGCGGGATGAGGTTCTTGCGCTTGCCGCTCACGAGGATGTTCTGCTTGTACTTGCCCTCCTCCTTGGTGCCGTCGGGGAAGGTCATGCAGCCGTAGCCGTGCCGCCGGTTGCTGGCCCACTCGCCCTCGTACCTGAGCCCGTCCGAGCGCTGGCTCACGCCAAAGCCCGCCCGCTTGTCGTTCTTCCACTCGCCCACGTAGGTCTCCGTGGTGGTGGCATCGATGTCGTCCTCGATGACCGCCAGCTCGGCCTCRGCCTCGCCCAGGCTGATGGTGGAGTGGACGTCGCTGGCGGTGGAGCTGACCGTGCTCATGCCYGCCTCGCTGCGGAAGGAGCTCTGCTTGCTGCGCTGGCTGGCCAGGCTGCTCTTGGACTCGGACTTGCGCAGCTTCAGCCCGCTGAGCAGTGAGCGCCGGAACAGCCCCTTCTTCTTGCTCTTGAGGGTCTCGGAGTCGCTGTGAGCCACCAGCACGAAGCCGCCCCGGGACACGGCCGGGCTGCCGGCCACCGCCGGGGAGGCGTCCGGGTGCAGCGCGGTGCCGTTGGTGTGCTCGCTGCGCAGGGAGTTGATGGACGTCCTCAGGGGCGAGCGGATCACTGCCGCCATGCCATAGGGGACGCTCTGCCGCACACCATAGCCTTGGCGCATGCCRCCGACCCACTGGCCCTGGTACGTCCCTGGGGAGACAGAGAGAGGGGTCAGTACCCAGGGTAGCGAGCGCCTGGTTACGGGGACAGGCCAGCAGTCCCTCCGCGGACGGCTCTRCCCGCACTCCCACCTTGGCTCACGTGGAGGCCCACGGAACACAGAGCGCTCACCACCTACACCCGATGGTCACGGTCAGAGACCTGGCTCCTGCTCCCCACAGGAGGGGTCCACTCCCTTAGGGACTGGGGCGGGAAAGAGGCACCACTCTGTGGCACCACCAGGCACAGGGCCCAGAGTGAGCCTGCAGCCTGCCGCGCACAGGGGGGCCCTGGAGGGGCCCACAGCCTGGGGTGGCCACAGCACCCTGCCCAGGCAGCTGCAGGGACTCTGCTGGAGGCACCCAGGAGATGTCTCAGGGGGACAGGGCAGAAGGCAGTGAGTGGGGCGGTGTGTGTCCTCAGGTGACCTCAGGCATGACAATCAGCACACCCCACAACCCCGAGGCGGCCAGGGCTGAGGCATCCGCATGCCCCACTCTCAGTAGCACTGTCCCAGGAGCCGGAGGTGGAGGCCCCCGCACATCCAGAGGCGAGGATAAGGGAGTGCCACTCGCCCCTGCCAGGGACCCGCGGCTGTGAGGAGGGAAGCGCCCGCGGCCTGCACCGCGGGAGCCTTCGGTGTCGTGCAACAGGAAGAGCCAGCGGGCCCAGGGACGGGTCCTGGAGGCAAGTGGTCCACAGAGGAAGTCGAAAGGGGCTGCCCAGGCTGGGCGGGGGGCTTCTGCTGGTGGGTATGAAGTTTCTCCTGGGGCCATGGAAATCGCTGGGACGATGTGCCACACGGCGGCTGACCTAGTGCCCCGAGGCTGCACGCCCACACGGGCTGGAGACCTGGGGCAGCGAGCAGCACTGCCAGCCCGCGGAGGCCAGGAGTCCAAGGCCACCTGGGAGAAGAGGTCGAGATGGCGAACTCCATGCTGCCCCGTGCACAGTAAGAAGGCCCGGCAGGCCTGRCTCTGTGACTGCAGGCCAGTGTCCTTATCTACACAACAGGAGCCAGCGCTCTGCACCCACAGGTCACTGGAGCACGGCCTGCCCACACGCAGCCCGGCCGTGCTGGCCCTCAGTCATCCTCACAGCAGGGTCCCACACCTGAGCAGGGCACGGCACCTGTGGTGGCCACACTCCCTGCCACTCCCTGCTGCCTGCCACCAGAGCCACCTCCTCCATACAAACCCCCGCCCAGAGAGTAAAACCTCGAGGTTTGGGGAGACGGAGCCTGACACTGAGGCCCAGGACCCTCCCGACCTTCAGCACACCCCACATCAGAATGYGGCCGACCTCTCCGGCTTGTCTGTCCCTGAGCCTTGTCTGCAGACTCCTCTCACCCAAGCTGCCCACCCCYGTCCAACCCGCCCGGCCAGAGCAGCTCCTGCCCCTGCTACACAACACGGGCCAACAGTGCCCCTCACCCAGARCCCACCGTCCAGGGGCTGGCCGCCGTACAGGCTGCAGATGGGCTGGGGACAGCAGCGGGCCCCTGGGTGTTCCAAGCGCATCCTCCCGCTCAACCCGGCCCTGATCTCCCTGGGGGCAGGGCCACGCTGCGGGTCCCTCACTCTCCAATGAGAGGTGGCCCAGACCYGGGCGAGGACAGGTGTGCACAAAGCCTCAACCTGGCCGGAGCCTCGGACAAAGGCCACGAGAGCCCTTTGCACCAAGAGGCAGTGGCACCTCCCCTGCACCCCAGCTTCTGCCAAGTGGCTGGGGATGGGGGTCAGAGGTCAGCTTGCCCACACACAGGGCCCAGGATGGGCATCCTCGTGAGTGGGACTCATCTGGRGCTGGGTACCTGCAGGAGAAGAGGGGTGTGGGGCCGGGGAGGGCGAGGGTGGCCCAGCACGGTGGGACTTGTCCCAGCTGGGGGCGGGGCTGGACGTGGGCCCACCCATGCTGGTCATCTGTATCCCAAGGCTGGGTCAGGCGGGGAGTTCTGGACTCCGGACAGTGCTAATGGGGACAGAGACCTGCCAAGGGAGGACGCTGGCAGTAGGAACGGCCTTGCCCAGGGACGGGAGGGCTCCCCTGAAGGAACCAAGGCAGGCCAGTGGCAAAGGCCACGCCCAGAGCCTCTGGTGCCAAGGTCATCAGACATCTGGAGGAAGCCTCCACGGGCAGAGGCCACAGGCACAGCTGGACGGGAAGGGGGTACCATCAGGAAAAGCCCTGGGGGGAAGACATCAAGGGACCAGGACYGAAACCCTCGAGAGAAAGAGGCTGCACCCCCAAACGAGAAGATGCAGAGAGCAGGTCAGAGAGAGAAGCCCCCCAGGACCCACKAGAGGGTGGCCGGAGCTCAGCCCTGGTGAGCAAGCTGGAGGACGAGTTCTAGATCTTTCAGAAACCAAAACGAAAGGAAGAGGTGGAAGATGCCAAGGAAGTTCGAGAACCATCCAGGAGGCCCGCGTAGGGGTCTCAGAGAGCAAAGGCGCAAAGGACCAGAGACACCAATAGGACTCAGGGGTCCACGGACACGGGCACGAGCAGGGGAGAGAGCCCCAGCAAGACACGCAGCACGAGGCTGTGGGCCGCCCCACGCAGACGCCACAGACGCCCCGAGGCCAGGAAAGCAGGCGGCAGGTGCTGGACTGAGCAGCGAGTGGCAGAGGACAGCCGACCCACGCGGGCTCCGAGCAGAAGTGACTTCCAGTCCCAGTGCTACGCCAATCCATCAACCAAGTCACCAAGTCACCCCAATGCACCTTCCAGAGTCCATTCTCAGAAGCCACTGCAGGTGGACTCCACCAACAGGAGGCGGAAAGCGAGAGAAAGGGGAGACGTGAGACCAGCACAGCCCCGGCCAGGGGCTGCCGGAAGAGCCACGGGGAGGGGCGGCCAACCACCACAAAGGCGCATCCGTGCGGGGGTTCCAGGCGGGGATCTGGAGGGTGGTCTCTGGGAGCTGCACTGAGAGGAAGAATGGGAAGACGCAGCTGTTGGTGACATTGCATGACGGGACAGCGCAGGCGAGGCCGGCCCGGGTGCTGGCCGTGATGGCGCAGTGTGACCGCCAACACAGCGGATCTCATCTCTGATTTTGTGATCTAACAACACTGAGAAGGCCAAGGAAGGGGGTTCTCAGCAGCTGAATGTCCCCCTGCCTCAGCAGAGGTCACAGGGGACAAGCCGCCCGCTCCACGCAGGCGGCAGAGGCACCCACCTCAGACGGGCTGAGACTCTGGTCCTGGGAAGGGGAGCTGCAGGAGTCCCAGGCCGCCTGCCTCCGAGCACCACCCTGTTTTCAGCTCGTCTTTCACCCTGAACTCTGGACACGTGGCTCTGCTAAGGGCTGAAGGTCTCAGTGGACAGGGACGAAGGACACTTTCGCCAGAGCATCCCCAGTGACACTGTTCTCCTCAGCTGCAGAAACCAAGTGTCGGGTCTGCACCTGGCCGGGGACTGGGACCTGAGCCTGGCTGGCAGTGTGAAGGCCTGCACACCTGGAGGCCGCTGGGCCTGGGGCCAGCACCCCGTGTCTAGAAGGCCAGGGRGAAASCCAGAAAGAGCAGGCCAAGAGAGCRGGCCSTGGTCCCAGAGGAACCGCAGTGGGAGCCACCACCGCAGGCCAGAGGAGGCGGGCAGGGGCCAGGGGAGGGCGGCCACTCCAGGAGCCACAGCCTGCTGTCCAGAGACCACCACCGCAGGGCCAGCGGGCATCACAGGCAAGACCAGACCCCAGTGAGMAGCACACGGGACCCCCACGGTCACCCCATGCCACCTGGCATTGGGAACCAGAGACGTGAGGAGCCACAMGGGTGAGGCCTGACCGAGGACCACAGCCTCAGAGGCCCCGGTGGCCATGAGGGTCGGCCGTCCCACGTGCCCCACGTGATCCCGGCAAAGCCTCCATCCTGCCCTCTGCTTCTTCCTCCTCAACCAATACTTTCTTAGAGCAGCTTCAGATCCAGGGAAGACGAGCAGGCGACAGGGTCCCCCCAGACAGGCTCTGCACCCTGCCTCACCCTCACCTGGCACAGTGAGGCTCCGGCCAGGGGCCCAGACACTGCCTGGGGACCTCCCAGGACACCGAGGCCCAAGCCGTAGGGAGGTTGAGGCTGTGGGGGGTGCGGGAGGAGGAAGGCCAGCCCTCGAGGGTCCAGCCAGCAGGGTCCTGGGCGGCCACTGAGGCCCCTTGTGCCGACTCAGCACCCCAGGGGAGGGGCCCTTGCTGGTCCTGGTGCCCCCCAGCCACAGCCAGCCCCGGTGGGGAGGTGGGCTGGACGGGGGGCCTCCCAAGGGTCCTGTCCTCCTGGGAGCTCGCGGCCACCTGCYGCCTGTTGGCATGAGCACCTCACGGAACCCCAAGACAAAGTCACTCCGAGGTCAGGACTGAGATGAAAGCAGGTCACTGTGCCACCCGCCAACACCAGCCACGCCCTCCTGGCTAAGAGGAGGGYACTGCTCCTTGACCAGTCACGGCCTGGCCCTGGGCTCCCTCTCCAGAGGCGACAGAGACACCCTCAGAGAACTGCCCCTTCCTGCAGCATGTCTGGGTGAACCCCACTGGCCCTGGCCCTGTCCACACCAGGGAGTGCTGGGTGGTTCCACAGAGGTGCCCACTCCGGAGGCTGTGGGCAGTGTCAGGGGAAGCCTGGGCAGGYGCTGACCATCCTGGGGCAGGAGGCACTGAAGGGCTGCAGAGGCCTGGGGCCCAGCAGGCTGGCCTCCAACTCCCACAAGACCAGCCACTGCAGCTATTCCTGAGACATGCCGACGGGGCCACCTGCGCCCCCTTCTGCAGGACCAGGGTGACCATCTCCCCCCAGCACCGASTGGACGGGACTCCAGGCCAAACTGAGGCCTGGAGCTGCAGTCCCACCCAGTGTCCACTGTCCAGGCGGGAGAAGGCCCTGCTGAGTCAGTTCCAGGTCCCAGAGCCGGGGACCCAGCTTCCACAGAGGCCCTCACAGCCCAAGGGGTCCTCCAGGGTGGAGAGGCAGGCAGGGGGCCCCGTGCTGGAGGACAGCCAG